GGGCTAATCATGAAGGAGGAAGTAGAAGTCCCTGGTTTATAATTGAATTAATGAGAGATAGGTTCCCTAACCTCTGAATGAAGCTGTTGGGAAATTGACTTTTGCTCTTCTCAGAAACTCCCCAGAGGGAGGGTGCTAGAAAAGTTCAGAAAATTCAATTCTTTGACTCAACTTTCCATTTCATATATCTTAAATGCTTTGGGCTTCTAAGTCCAGCAAACATTACCCTCAATTCTCCTTTTAGAGGGTTTTAGGGCAGACTGACCCTGTTCTATTCCCCTACAACTTTCTTAGCAAGAAAGTCATTAAGGGCTGGACTTGGCACATGGAGGGCTGGCATCAATGGCACGTGGTGAATCCTTAGGGGAAGGATCAGCATTTAGCAGTACCTTTTAGGGGAAGAGAGATTTCAAGTCAGTTACATTTATTTTGCCGTTACCATGGATGGGAAGACCTTCAGGTGGGGTCTTTCGACACATCGGTGCCTTCTGTTGTCACTTTTGCTTCGACGTGGTTTCACCCATGGTGAACCTTCTTAGATTTGCTCACTCTTTCAGCTGATGAGGCAGACCTTAGATACCATCTTGTTAAAGCCTTACCTGTCTAGTTAAAGGACAGGGTGACAAAGTTACTTTATAGTTTGGCTTAGAGTAGATGTTACAGTCATTCTAACCAGAGCCACTGGTAAAATGGCCAACAAGGAATAGTTTGCAAAACTAGTTTTCTGTATCAACAGCTGAATCATGTATTTTTCAGCAATATTCTTTTGATAAATTCAATATTCTTGTGATAAATAAGATGCTCTCACATTTGGCCTTCTATGGGAGAAAAAAAGTGTTAGCCTAACTGAGCCTGAATGGAGATTAGTTTATATAGAAATCTAAAATTTGTTGAGAAGCAATCTTGAACCAAAATCTCCAAGTTTTAGACTAGTGAACACGAACACACTATTTAGATTTCTTTGATCTCTTTGTCTTTAGACTTTGTCGGTGAAATAAAAGTCTTTCTTGGGATGACTTGGTGTAAGTGAATTAGTTTTCTGACTACAAAAAATATCTAGAAGATAAGTTAAGAACCAAGATAACAAACAACATTCAAGGTAAGTTCATTCACCTAATCTTTAGTGGGGCATTCTCGAAATTAGTCTCAAAAAGAGAAGCTTATTTTTTTCAGATTAGATACCCTCCCTGCATGATACCCTCTCTGTGCGTTTATAGGACACCTCTGGTGTTACCTTGGCTTAAAAATAGATGTAGTGGCAGATGGAGGATTCAGGGATCACTCTAAAACCACTTCTTAATATCTGCTGTATTCTCAGCTGTGTGCAAGGTGCTATAGAGGATGTAACAGACACTTAACCAGCCTTCAGAAGCTTACGTCTTCACTGAGAGAACTGACGGATCTAGTACATGAACTAGATAGAGAATAATTGGTAACAAAGTCTTAGAGCTTAGATCTCAAGTCCCAAAGGTAAATATGGCAAAGACTTCTTTCCCTGGATGCCCAGTTTGGCTGGCTCCTGAAACATCCTCTCCTCTCCAGTGCCTCTAAGCTCCACACAGGCTGCCTTGGAAGAAATTACACCAAGTAGATAACTGAAGTTGGATCACATTTTTTGTTTCTCCTAAAAGTTCTATTTGTACTTTTTAAAATTTAAGTTAATTTTAAGTTCTGGGATACATGTGCAGGATGTGCAGGTTTATTGCACAGGTAAATGTGTGCCATTGTGGTTTGCTGCAACTATTAACCCATCAAAGACCTAGAACCAGAGATACCATTTGATATATACCCAGCAATGGGATTGACCAGCAATCCCATTACTGGGTATATATCCAAATGAATAGAAATCATTCTGTTATAAAGATACATGCATGCCTATGTTAATTGCAGCACTATTCACAATAGCAAAGACATGGAATCAACCCAAATGCCCAATGCCCATCAATGATAGACTGGATTAAAAAAATGTGGGACGTATATGCCATGGAATACTGTGTAGCCATAAAAAGAAATGAGATCATGTTCTTTGCAGGAACATGGATGGAGCTGGAGGCCATCATGCTCAGCAAACTAACACAAGAACAGAAAACCAAACACTGCATGTTCTCACTTATAAGTGGGAGTTGAACAATAAGGACCACATTTTTGTCAATTTTCTTACTGCCTTTTTTTTTTTTTATATATATATTTTACTCTTCCACTTGGCTTTGCATTTGTTGTAAACATGATTCTCTTTCCTGTCCATGTTATTACTGCATTCTGGAAGCTGGATTTGGGTGAGCACCAGGTGGAAGAGTCAATGGATTTGATGATTTTAAAGCAAGCCTTGACTGGGAAGCTGAGATACCTAGTTCTAGTTCAGGCTGTACACCAACCAGCCGTGTGAGTCTGGGCCCAGATTCATCTTCTGTAACATGAAGAATCCATCAGCCTCCTTCCAAATTTGACAGCTTATGATTATTCTGCAGAGGAAAATAGGAAGGAGAGAGTCCTCTTCATCTGACTTCTCTGTGATAGGATATCTTTGGAGAGAAGTGTTGGAAAAGGCCAGTCAGACCAATCTTATTTTTCAAAACCTCGTAGTACATGAGGTTCTATGGCAGAAAAAGTGAAATAAGAAACCACAGAGTAGGGACTGGATACATTTTAAATATTTAAAAATTGGAGGAGGGAGGGGAATAGAAAAATATTTAAAAATTTTCACAGAAGTTGTTTACTGAGGTCAGGTTCTCCTTAAGATTCTGTGTTCATCACCATTTTAGGTTTTCTTAACTGTGAACCCTGGAAATGTCCATTTAATGAGCTGTCTGATTAGAACAGAGATTTATGTTTCAGGGTCTCTTCCTTTGGCCTTGCCAATTAAAAAGTCAGTATTGGCTGGGTGTGGTGGCTCATGCCTGTAATCTCAGCACTTTGAGAGACCTCGGGTGGATCACCTGAGGTCGGGAGTTTGAGACCAGCCTGACCAACATGGAGAAACCCCGTCTCTACTAAAAATACAAAAAAATTAGTCGATTGTGGTGGTGCATGCCTATAATCCCAGCTACTCGGAAGCTGAGACAGGAGAATTGCTTTAACCTGAGAGGCAGAGGTTGCGGTGAGCCAAGATTGTGCCATTGCACTCCAGCCTGGGCAACAAGAATGAAACTTCATCTAAAAAAAAAAAATCAATATTAAAGTATCCTAGACATCACAGGCAAAATGTCACTACCACTGTCCATGGTTTACAAATCTACTGATCTATTTATGAAATGATCTCTCAAAGGTTTTTCGTTTCCATGCAGAGGTTTAATACATTTTAATTTCCTTTTTAAAATTCTACTCTAAATCCATTCATTGTTTAGCTTTTTAAGACAATTTGATGATTATATTGTATATACATCTTGTTCTGTAGCCTTTAATAGCCTTGGATTAAAAATACAACAACTCATCTTTTAAAATAAGAAGACTAAAGTGGTCCTTACAAGTCTTCTGAGAGGACCTCTCGTTGACACCCCAAACCAGAAGACTGTTAGAAACAGAGAACATTTGCTTTCAAGCCAAATTTCACAGAAAATATTCACCTAGTGATAGAGTCATTGTTCCCGTGAGGATGAAACCTGCCCATGTAAGATTCCTGCCTTCTGCATAAACCTCCTGTGTGTGAAAGATTGGTATATGGCAGAAGGATCAGACAGCTACACAGAGGAGCATGGTGGGGAGTGAAAGGGAGGCCACAATAATGAGGGGATGGCATTATGACTGTTTCGTAGATCAGGAAACTGGGGCTCAGAGAGGTTTCATCGCTTGTCCCAGGCCACACAGCTCCTCTTTGAACCAAGGTCTGTATTTTCAAAATGCAAATGCTTCTACCACATCTCTGACTTCCGCAGAGTACCTTATAATGCTTCATCATATCAATTTACCTTATACTATCACATGGAACAAGTTTTCTACACTGAGTGCTAACATTTCTCAACCCCAGCCTCAAATCTGTGAAGCTGACCAGGGTTCCTAACAGGCATAAGGAAGAAACTGAGAAGGAAAGGAAAATCACAAAGCTTCAAACACTGTCCTTGGAGGAGGGTACGGAGAAGAGGAAATTTATGAGGAGGTAACGAGTCAGAGGCATTTCAACAATTCATTAATTAAATTGGGGTAAAATACACAACAACATTTACCATCTTACCCATTTTTAAGTGTATAGCTCAGTAGCATTAAAATACATTCACAGAGTTGTGTAGCCATCACCATGTTTCATCTCTAGAGTGCCTTCCATGTCCCCAAATGGAAACTCTACCATGAAACACTAACTCCATGTTCTTCTTCCCCCCGCAGTCCCTGGCAGCCGCCATTCTACCTACTGTCTGTCTCTGTGAATTTGACTACTCTAGGCACTCTATATGCTGTATGAATGGACTTGTACAGTATTTTCATTTCTGCGACTAACTTAGCATGTCACTTAGCATATTCAGTCCCATTTTATAATGTAGCTGACTGTTCTAAGGGCTTGTTGTAGATGCTTAACCCTGGGACCCTTTAATCAGAACCCTGGGACATTACAATTCTGCAGAAGCAGAGGTAGACGTCAGGCACTCTTTAGACACAGGAGATGTAGTGAAAGCACGCACATTTTGAGAAACACAGATCTGGGCTCAAATAAAAGCTGCATGGCTTTGGGCAAGTGACTAAACCTCTCCGAGTCTCAGCTTTTTCTTGTCTGTAAAATGCCCTCTGATTTTTCTTGCGAGCATTCAGTCAGCACATGCTAGAGCAGCAAACACACTTCAAGGCAGCAACACTATACCATCGAGGCCTCTGTTGGGAATAACGTCAAGCAGGTGACATTTGCTGTTTTGTTCACTTGTCTCAGAACATGTTTTGGGGAAAACCAAGGGAGAGAACAAACTCAAGAGGGAGCAGAATGGTGACAGTCCTCCAGGTCTGGGAAGGATATTTCTAATGACTGAGGAGAGTTCTTTGATTTCTATTCCAGGTGGTCAGCTCCTGTGCTTTAAAACATGGCTGCTACAAGCAACGTGACTGAAATCATTTTCCTTTTTTTTTTTTTTTTTTTAACCATATGGAAAATGTACCTACTTATTTAGCCAACAGCTTTCATCAACATTTCTCCCAATTTGTTCTTCCTTGATTGTATTCTCCCATGCATCAAAGATCAAATCTTGACTCAAATATTTAATCTTGGAAAAAGCATCACATTTAGAAATAGCATGGTTTCCATCATGCCGAGGCAAGCACTGTTCCTATGCTCGTGGTTATTGACAGGACTGCTATCACTCGTTGCTATTATGGGCTTCATTAATGCTGCCAGGAAAAAGGGACTCTGGCATTTTGGCAGTTACTCTTTGCCAGGCTCTAAACTTTCTTCTAAGCTTTACAACTTGGCTACACAGAGATTTTAGGAGTGCCATTTGACACCTTGGCTGTTGATTTGGTCATAACTAAAAAATACTCTAAATTGTCTTTTTTTAAATTGCATTTTAGGTTTTGGGGTACATGTGAAGAACATGCGAGATTGTTGCATAAGTATACACGTGGCAGTGTGATTTGCTGCCTTCCTCCCCCTCACCTATATCCGGCGTTTCTCCCCCTGCCATCCCCCCCAGCTCCCCACCCCCTGCTGTCCCTCCCCTATTTCCCTCAACAGACCCCAGTGTGTAGTGCTCCCCTCCCTGTGTCCATGTGTTCTCATTGTTCAACACCTGCCTATGAGTGAGAACATGCGGTGTTTGATATACTGCTCCTGTGTCAGTTTGCTGAGAATGATGGCTTCCAGGTTCATCCATGTCTCTACAAAGGACACGAACTCGTTTTTGATGGCTGCATAGTATTCCATGGTGTATATGTGCCACATTTTCCCTGTCCAGTCTATCATCGATGGGCATTTGGGTTGGTTCCAGGTCTTTGCTATTGTAAACAGTGCTGCAATGAACATTCATGTGCACGTGTCCTTATGGTAGAACGATTTATAATCCTTTGGATATATACCCAGTAATGGGATTGCTGGGTCAAATGGAATTTCTATTTCTAGGTCCTTGAGGAATCACCACACTGTCTCCCACAATGGTTGAACTAATTTACATTCCCACCAACAGTGTTAAATTGTTCCTATTTCTCCACATCCTCTCCAGCATCTGTTGTCTCCAGATTTTTTAATGATTGCCATTCTAACTGCTGTGAGATGGTATCTCAATGTAGTTTTGATTTGCATTTCTCCAATGACCAGTGATGATGAACATTTTTTCATATGCTCATCATATGTTTGTTGGCCTCTTGTATGTCTTCTTTTGTAAAGTGTCTGTTCATATCCTTTGCCCACTTTTGAATGGGCTTGTTTGTTTTTTTCTTGTAAATCTGTTTCAGTTCTTTGTAAATTCTGGATATCAGTCCTTTGTCAGATGGGTAAGCTGCAAAAATTTTTTCCCATTTTGTTGGTTGCTGATTCACTCTAGTGACTGTTTCTTTTGCTGTGCAGAAGCTGTGGAGTTTGATTAGGTTCCATTTGTCTATTTTGGTTTTGTTGCCAATGCTTTTGGTGTTTTGGTCATGAAGTCCTTGCCTATGCCTATGTCCTGAATGGTTTTGCCTAGATTTTCTCAGCCCAAAGTCTCCTGAAACTGATAAGAAACTTCAGCAAAGTCTCAGGATACAAAATCAATGTGCAAAAATCACAAGCATTCCTATACACCAATAACAGACTTAAAGAGAGCCAAATCAAGAATGAACTGCCATTCACAATTGCTACAAAGAGAATAAAATACCTAGGAATACAGCTAATAAGGATGTAAAGGACCTCTTCAAGGAGAACTACAAACCACTGCTCAACGAAATAAGAGAGGACAGAAACAGATGGAGAAACATTCCATGCTCATGGTTAGGAAGAATCAATATAGTGAAAATGGCCATACTGCCCAAAGTCATTTATAGATTCAATGCTCTTCCATCAAGCTACCAATGACCTTCTTCACAGAACTGGAAAAAACCACCTTAAACTTCATATGGAACCAAAAGAGAGCCCACATAGCCAAGTCAAATCTAAGCAAAAAGAACAAAGCGGGGGACATCATACTACCAGACTTCAAACTATACTACAAGGCTACAGTAATCAAAACAGCATGGTACTGGTACCAAAACAGAGATATAGACCAATGGAACAGAACAGAGGCCTTGGAGGCAACACAACATATCCACAACCATCCGATCTTTGGCAAACCTGACAAAAACAAGCAATGGGGAAAGGATTCCCTGTTTAATAAATGGTGTTGGGAAAACTGGCTAGCCATGTGCAGAAAGCAGAAACTGGACCCCTTCCTGACACCTGACACTAAAATTAACTCCAGATGGATTAAAGACTTAAACATAAGACCTAACACCATGAAATCATTTTCTTGGGGTTTTCCCAGAATTGGAATGAGCAGAGGGTCATTTCTGTGGTGTTTCTTCTCATGTACATAGCCGTTGTGCTGGGCAATGGCCTCATTGTGGTGACCATCCTGGCCAGCAAAGGGCTCACCTCTCCCATGTATTTCTTCCTCAGCCACTTATCCTCCGTGGAGATCTGTTACTGTCCTGTCACGGCCCCCAAGCTGATCTTCGACTCTTTTACCAAGAGGAAAGTTATTTCTCTCAAGGGCTGCATCACACAGATATTTTTCCTCCATTTCTTTGGTGGCACTGAGATCTTCCTCCTGACGGTGATGGCCTATGATCACTACGTGGCCATCTGCAAGCCGTTGCACTACACTGCCATCATGAACCAGTGGATGCGTGGCCTCCTGCTGGCAGTAGCATGGGGCAGGGGCCTGCTGCATTCTGTTGGGCAAACTTTCCTCATTTTCCAGCTCCCTTTGTGTGGCCCCAACATCATCGACCGCTACTTCTGTGATGTCCACCCAGTGCTGAAGCTGGCCTGCGCGGACACCGTCCTCATTAGCCTGCTGATCCTCACCAATGGCGGCTCCATCTCTGTGGTCAGCTTCTCAGTACTGATGGCTTCCTACCTGATCATCCTGCACTCCCTGAGGAGCCACAGCTTGGAGGGGCGGCAAAAGGCCCTCTCCACCTGTGCCTCTCATGTCGCAGTTGTGGGCCTGTTCTTCATACCCTGTTCCTTTGTCTACATGAGGCCCTGTGTCACCCTCCCTGCAGACAAGATAGTCGCCGTATTTTACACGGTGGCCACACCTCTCTTAAACCCCGTCATTTACTCCTTCAGGAATGCTGAAGTGAGAAACGCCATGAGGAGACTCATGGGGAGAAGAGTAATTTGGGAAGAGAAGTAGATGATTTAGTTAGGGAAAATAAGAGGGGTAGGGGAGGGGAAATGGGGGCACCTAAGGTCTCACTCTGTGTCTACCTTGTCCAATGGAGTGAGTGGCCTTGGGCCAGTCACCTTTTTCTATGAAGTTTCAGTTTCCTCATCTTATAGGATTGGATAAGATTGAAGGAGTAATTAGGATGGAGAAAGAGGGGTCTTCTAGTGTGTGTTTCCAAATCCGACAGAGGCCTCAAGACAGCTTAGCTGGTGGAGAGAGAATAAACTCTTCCAGAAAACCAGTTCGTTCTGGGAATGATGAAGAGGGAGGTGGGGGTTGAGAACGACTGTCTCAGGGAGCAGTGGTCACTATGTCCTTCCAGTTTGAACATTCACATGATTGGAAAGTCTCTTGAATTGACACACTGAGGTTTTGCTGAGAGGGTTTTGGAAAGGCAAGCTGACTGAGAAGGGTGTAGTCCTAAGAATGGAAGATGTTGACTCTTGTCAAGGGATTCATATGAGCTCATGCTAGCATTGGACTCAGGGTTCTCAAGATTCCAGAAGAACCACAGGGAGCTGTTAAGCAAATTGGAAGCACTGGATGATAATATCCACGTTGTAGCTACAGGTTTTATTTTCCATGTTTTATTAACATTTTGATTCCTATTATAAAAATATCTCCTGTTCATACTTGTTCCCCCTTCACCTCCCTTTTTTCCCTCCTTCTGTGTCTTATTGTTTAACCTATTCATTTTCTCAATCTGCTGGCCTCTTGGATTCTTGTGCTTCTCAGCCTTTCCAATGAAGCCCCCAGGGAACCCCCTCTCTTATGCCACCACATGGCTTTGTGCTGTCCATCCACCAGTACTCCACCTCTTCCTATTCTTCATGCCTGCTGGTTAAGATATGGGCTTAACTACTGTTGGGTCTGTCCTATATTTTAACCAAACTTCTTTTGAGTCTTATTCCAGTAGTCATCAGACTGTAAGAATGTGTCTAGAACCCTAACCCTAATTCTACTCGTTGCCATTGGATACATTTTCTTCCACATGCTTTCAGACTCATCACCTTTAAGCAGCTCTCTGATTTCATCAGTCTCCCCCTCAAGAATCTTCAATGACTCCCTATTGCCTTCTGAATCGACTATAAATTCCTGCTTGCTATGAAATGCCCTCGAGGCATGATCCTCTCATAACGTTAGACTTTCATTTGTTACACTATTAGAGTGTGCTGTTTTCTGGACATCCCCTTGTGCCCTCTGCCTATACTATTTTTCTCATCTCTACCTATTAACATTCTACCTACCCTTCATGGCCCATCTGAAATTCTTCTACCTTTAGGAAGCCTCCATGATTATGCTATCTGGGTATGTCATTTTCCTTCTTTGAATTCTCATGGCACTCAGTGGGAATCCTTTAGGGCTGTTGCTACCTTTATTTCAGTGTTTAGTTCTCCCCATTAGACTGTGACTCTTTTGAGAATATGGCTTAAATTTTATTCACCGATGTATCTCTAAATAGCAGATAGTAAAACAATAAATATTTGGTTGATTAAATTTGAGTCAGTAGTACTTCAGATCGTAAGTGGACAATGGTTGTTGTATCTCTCATTTCATCTAAATAATCTAAATAATATGTCAGTTACATCACTCAAGACAAACCAATAGTCATTCCTGATATTGTTTCTAAGGATAACATTTATATAAATAAGGAGACTGTATGTATTTGTATATTTTACAATTAACTAAGTGATTTAATGCTTTATCTACTTTGATTTTAAAATACACTGGTGAAGTGGGTATGAGTACAGATGAAGAGATTGGAGACTGGGGAGGCAGTTGTCTTGATCAAGGTTACCAGTTCGTAACCCATGAAGCCTGAATTCAAACCCACTGTGTCTGATTTCTCAGCCCATGCTCTTCTCTGCTTCTTTTTAAAGGTCACCACAAACAAATATATGTAAGTCTTTGAATTTCAAATCTGAGAGCTGAGAATATCCTTATTGTCAGATAATTTCCTCTGGAATTACTTCAGATTAAATAAAAAATGTTTGAAAAAATATAACCTGAAATGCCTTTCGGGTGTTCACAGGTATTTCTGGGTCCACAGAGATCCAATGGCCAGGATACTGGATCTGGAAGCGGAGGGAAGGAAAGCAGGAGGCTATGACGCTTCTGCATGTCAGGCTCTTTGACTCTCAGGAGGAAAGAATGTGGGCATTGACTGGATTAGGGTGGGTCATATGTTGCTCAGATATTTTATGTTTCTATAGATTTTCCTGGTTTAAAAAAAAAAAAGAGTGGCTTAATGCCTGACATCAAAACTCAATGTGCTGGCCAGGACAATATTTTTTTTGTCTTTTTTGTTTGTTTGTTTTAATTTTTTTTTTTTTTTTTTAAGATGGAGTTTTGCTCTTGTTGCCTAAGCAGGAGTGCAATGGCACAATCTCAGCTCACTGCAACCTCTGCCTCCTGGGTACAAGCGATTCTTCTGCCTCAGCCTCCCGAGTAGCTGGGATTACAGGTGTGAGCCACCACGTCTGGCTTTTTGTATTTTTAGTAGAAATGGGGTGTCACCATGTTAGCGAGGCTGGTCTCGAACTCCTGATCTCAGTTGATCCACCTGCCTTGGCCTCCCAAAGTGCTGGGATTACAGGCACGAGCCACCGTGTCTGGTCAAGATTCTTTTCTCTAGTGACATAATGCTGGAAAAGGCAGCATTCTTCAGAATACCATAAAGATCAGAAAATGGGAAATAAGAGGCAAAAGATTAATATGAATTGTGCATCCACCAATTACATTTCCCAACATTTAATTCTCAGGACAGCACTGACCCATTGGTGGTGCAATTCCTTTTGCAGGTGGGGAAACTGCAGGTCAAGGACTCCTCCTAAACTCCCGATGTTTCTTCTACACCAGTTGTTTGTGAACTATGTAGGATTCAGTGTCCAGGATTCTGCAGGTACCTGAGGGACTGGGGCAAGAGCAGAGCAGGAAAGGACAGGAGACATCTGAGTGGGTAATCAGCTGCTGATTACCTTAAAAAAAATCTGTTTTAAGATTACTTTGATAAAAAAAAATCCTAAAAAAAGGTTAAAAAATCACTATAATAAAACATGCTTATACTTTAAATTTTGATTGGTCATTAGGAAAGGACCTCCATTTCCAGAAGGGGAAGCAGAATCAAGCCTTCTTCCAAAATTCCAATCCCAGAGACTCAGGCAAGAACCTCTTCACTGACAGTTAAGGCATGTCTCAGAAAATGCAGCTTATCCAATCCAGGTGAATGCCCTTGAACATGATACATTGACCCAGCCAGCTCTGAAATGGCCTCACTTCCTGGGGTGGTGCTGCACCCAAATTGCATCTTACCATTACATTTGCAGACTAAGTCTCATTGCCACGAGACTCAGCATTTCAAGTCTTCATATGTGTTTTTGGAAAAATATGTGACTTGCAAAAAAGTTCTGCACTTTGACTATTTATCTGTATGGTTAGTGTCAAGAAAACTTGAGTGGAAGTTATATTATTATTATTTATTATTTATTTTGTTTTAATTTTTGCTTTTGTCTCCAGGCTAGAATGCAGTGGTGGGATCTTGGCTCACTGTGACCTCCACCTCCCGGGTTCAAGCGATTCTCCTACCTCAGCCTCCTGAGTAGCTGGGATTACAGGGGTGTGCCATCACGCCTGGCTAATTTTGTATTTTTTTTTTGAGATAAAGTCTCCCCCTGTTGCCCAGGCTAGAGTTCAGTGGCATGATCTTGGCTCACTGTAACCTCTGCCTCCCAGATTCAAGTGATTCTTGTGCCTCAGCCTCCCAAGTAGCTGTGACTACAGGCGTGTACCACCATGTCCAGCCCATTTTTGTATTTTTAGTAGAAAGGGGATTTCGCCATGTTGGTCAAGCTGGTTTAGAACTCCTGAGCTCAAGTGAGCTTCCCAAAGTGTTGGGCTCAGAGGCGTGAGCCACTGCCCCTGGCCTAGAAGTTATATTATTCCTACATTATTCTGAGAATTCTAGATGCCCAGGCTTTTTACCAGTATGGGAAGTGATCTCCAGAGATACCTTCCTGGTTCTCTCATTTCTAATCTTTGCTCATATCCACATCAAGTGATATTCCTGGGAAGCAGGAGTATCTTAGATGGAGACATAGCTTCTTGGAAGTCTAAGAAGATAGGTGTTGAGATGGAATAAATACCATAAGTAGTTATCACTGGGTATATCTTCTGGAAATAGTGGCTTTCTCAAACCTTTCTTAGAGACTGGGAAGGTTAGTGGAAGAGTGAGGCGGAGGTGGGGATGACCAATGAGAAAAAATCAGAATGAACGAGATCTACTATTTGATAGCACAATAGGGTGACTACAGTCAATAACCTAATTGTATATTTTAAAATAAAGAGTGTAATTGATTGTTTGTAACTCAAAGGATAAATGCTTGAGGGAATGCATATCCCATTTTCCATGATGCACTTATTTCACATTGCATGCCTGAATCAAAACATCTCAGGTACCCCATAAATATATCTACTACGTACCCACAAAAATAAAAAATAATAATTAAAAAGTTTAAAACTATAAACTTTAAAAAGCAATACTTTAGCTGCATTCCACAACATTTTACATATATTTTTATTATCATTCAGTTTAAAATATAATGTCATTTTTAGTGATTTCTCCTTTAACCAATAGGTTATTTAGAATTATGTTGTTTAATTTTCAATTATTTGGGACTTCTTCCTGGATATCTTGTTGTTATTGAATTCTGGTTTAATTCCATTATGGTCAGAGAGCATTCTGAATAATGCCATTCCTTTTACATTTGTTAAAACCTGTTTCACAGCCCAACCTAAGGGCTATCTTACTGAATGCACAACGTGTGCTGGAAAAGAATGTGCATTTTTCAGTTTTAGGGCATAGTGTTCTATAAATATCAATTAGGTTAGGTTGGGTCATATGTTGCTCAGATCTTTTATGTGTCTGCAGATTTTCTTGGTCTAATCATACTACCACTTCTTGAGGCAGT